ATTTCTGTCATATTCTACTCTAGCCATTTTGACGATTTATTTCGCTATCATACCCACAAACAATTTATTATTATTTTCACGATATTTTGAATCACTCATACAAACGTGTTATTTTATCGTTCAGACAATCACAGCATTAGTACATGTAAATTTTTTGTACGCTCATTAATTTGCTCATATTCACATGCTAACATTTTCATTTTTGTCCGAGCCTTTGCGATATTCATGTATTCTTTTGCATAAGTATGACATTTTCATATAATACACTCACCCCTCATGTGACACTACTGTACTTTATTGAGTGTTGTACAATTTTTTGGCTACTCTTAGTGTTAGCGTTAACTTCATATCACTTCAGTGTTATTTTCGAAAACAGACATTTTTTAAATGTGCTATTTTCTACGAGGGGGCTATGTAGTGTCAGTTATTATGCCAAGCCCATATACCTTATTCGAGCTTTCGGACATCCCATTCTATTCATTTTACTTGAGCCATACATTGACCTTGTTATTTATTCGCTTATCAATCTAGACTGTTTTTATATGAGCGTATATGTGTGTGCCCTTCTTATTCCATTAATCACATGTCTGTAGCTTTATTTTGTCTGACTATAAATATTGAGTAACACTTGACAAAGTTGGAGTTGGCTTCCCAGCCATCTTCCCTGCGCGTCATTTCGTTTTGTTCTATCGCATTCACTTTACATACAAAATATATGTATTCAACTGCCATTCTCGTTAATTGACTTATTTAATTCCGTTATGGACTAACGCGATTTAAGTCGACGATGATATACGAGAATAGGTGATAACAATCATTCGTACAATATAAATGGAGTCAGATCAACTGGGTCACAAAAGTGGTGAGCCCTCCAACGAATATCGTCGATCTAGATGAGGAAAAAATCAAGCTACGGGCCTCCATAGCTTACTTGAATAATAGGTCTTCTAAGAAAATGTTTCTATTCTATTATCTAGAAGCTTTAAATGTGCTTGACAAATAAACGATGTTAGTGAATATTTGGTTACTTTTATCTATGTTTATATAAATAAAACTATTCATTTCTGATATAACCGCATAGGAATATTGTAATAATCCTTATTGACCTAAAACAACAACTAAGATTATAAGCAAAAATAGATAGTTGCTAACAGTGGAACCCAGTTTGACGCGCGTTTTGTCCTATTTGGGACTCGTCAGCTGAATGTGCCGGCATCTTAGAGTTGATTTTCACTCTGGGACGAAACGCATGTCCTGGACTTCACTGCTAGCCATCATCCATCTTTTCTTATAAAGCTTGTGACCTAAGACAATATCGAGGCAGTCCGCACAGGATGCATATATGCCAATAAGAGACTGATCAATTCCAGCCCTAAATAACAATAGGAAGATACGAGTAAACATCACCAAGTGAATTTACTACTAAGATCAGCTAAAGAGCTGATGAAAACTAAATAGTATTCAACATATATATATATATAATTTTAACAACTCCGTGTACATACGTCAAACTCAGAGAACTTTATTCCAGAATGTTCGTGAACATACGCTTAAATGAATAAGAGAAGATGTCACAAAATCTATGAGCCATCGTGAACTTTTCTAATGTGATATGTTAATGATCATAGTATTGAAGTAGAGGAAGCTTAACTAATATAAAATCAGGTTCCAATTAATTTATCAAGAGGCATCGTAGTAACTATCCTTGGATCATATGAAATAAACAGAGACTATATTTCTAAAAGAAGACATATCCAAGTACTTTGTTGACTATGATCTACAATAAAACTTCTATATTTCTCTTCAACTCTGCTTATATGAAATATTCTTAATCATCTTTCTCAATTTTGTACCGTTGCATAACATTCCTCCATTTTACGTAGTATGTTCATATAATTTTCAGATCTGAGATCCTACATTTCTTATTTAAGTCTAAATCGATATAGATCATATAGAGTAGACAGAAAAACATACATCTGCATATCATTATAGCACTAGAACAATAGACCAGAAACCTCACTTTCACACAACATAGCCCACTATATATATATATAATTCACTCTCAATAATCACTGTAGAATAGTAACATTAACTAGCCAGAATAAGCCATTGTGATTATCCTAATTAGTAGTAAATAAACTGGAGAAAGTCACTGCAGTTGACTTTAGTACAAAAACAAAACTCATCCTTAAACTTTTATTTAGTATTAAAGGTGAGACTAGAATTTATGGACGAATCAATCGGATATAAGATAACAGGTCTTGAATTTTGGCGCGAAAATCATTCATCCATTTGATTAAATAGCGTTTTGACATTTTAACTGATCTCAATTCGTGATGAAAACTATAAATCTATATCCTAACCCTAACCATCAACTTTAAATCATAATTCTAATTATTCACACCCTAATTTGGTTCTAGTTATTAGGTGGACACACTCAAGATCACTTTGGTGTCGCACAAAGGTCGTCCATAAATTATAGTCTCACCATTTTAAACAGATTAAAAAATTATAATCAGAATGTGTTTTGTGGAGATTTTTAGAAATTTTCACAGATTGAACTCATGAGTCATTTGAAGCTAGACCACCATTGAAAACCTGGAAGCACTAGACGGCCGTTTCACCCTAGTACGGGACTCCTCAGCAGTGCGCATCCACGACCCCGCACCACCCGGGGCTCGAACCAGGTTTTCACTGGTGGTCTAGCTTCAACTGACTCATGAGTTCAATCTGTGAAAATTTCTAAAAATCTCCACAAAACACATTCTGATAATAATAATCACATGCTCACTAGTGACTGACTTCAGGAGACACTTCTGGAGTTCTAGTGAGAAGTCGTTACCAGTGGAGTTCAACCAGGTCTGTTGTGAGATAGGAACTCACTGAAGACAATGGTGTACGGTAGCGCAACTTCGTGGATTGGTTGAAGTTAGACATTAACACCGCTAGGTGCCAGGTTAGTGGTCTAATGGTTAAGTGCTCGCGCGCGAAGCCAGTAGGTCCTGGGTTCGAGCCCCAGGTGGTGCGGGGTCGTGGATGCGCACTGCTGAGGAGTCCCGTACTAGGGTGAAACGGCCATCCGGTGCTCCCAGGTTTTCAATGGTGGTCTAGCTTCATCTGACTCATGAGTTCAATCTGTAAAAAATTATAGTTTAGACGTGTTCGAACATTTAAAGTATTAGATTTATATGTTTGAATTTTCATATAATAAACTGACAAAGTTTAGATGGTGGTTGGACGTAGTCAACAGGAAACCCTGGACCCGGGTTTCGTGCTACTTGGCACTCGTCAGCAAGGTGTACCTGTAATCTTGAGGGAACTGGTGCTCCCTGGCGGATTCGATCTCGAATCACCCAGCTTCACAGTCAGAGACGTTATCACTGAGCTATCCGAGCCGTGACTAACCTCCTGTAGGACTGAGATGTAATCACAATTGATTGATCACTGGGTGGTGATCAATCTCATGCTTGTCTAGTCCTTATTAGTGCAGATCGAATGCTATCGATCATGTTGCAATGTGGCCACCAGTCTAGGTGAGATCGAATCCGCCAGGGAGCACCAGTTCCCTCAAGATTACAGGTACACCTTGCTGACGAGTGCCAAGTAGCACGAAACCCGGGTCCAGGGTTTCCTGTCGACTACCTCCAACCACCATCTAATCTCAATACATAGTGCCCGCAGTGTCGAGTCACCTAGACTGGTGGCCACATTGCAACATGATCGATAGCATTCGATCTGCACTAATAAGGACTAGACAAGCATGAGATTGATCACCACCCAGTGATCAATCAATTGTGAAACTGACAAAGTTTAGAGTCATAGAAAACAAACGATGATTGAATGGCTGTTTCGTGCAGTCTTCAGAACTTCTCATTAGTAATGAGTCAAACCCAGGATCATTATGCTTTGGAATGGGTATTGTATATATAGACCAATAATGGTGTATGAGTAGGTTGGAGGAAAGCTAAGGGCGGCTAGACCAAAACATGGCACAAATCCATCGAGTCATTGACAATTGAACTGAGCCATGTTGGTAGGTGTAGAATACCTGGTTGAGATCCACGAGACGATTGCAACCGATGGTTAGAGACCTTGAGTAATAAGTCTCAAAATCGTTTGCAATAGCGCAGGTGCATCTACTCTTTGTGTTCTCCTAAATTCTAATCTTCTACATTCTTTATGTCCCTTTCTTTTTCCTCTTTTCAACTTTATTTCACTGTATTATACTCCTTGAATAACATCTTCAATCCCTAGTGTTTCCGATTACTGCCTCTACTTTTACTACCTCTACCACTGTAGGATTTGAATGGAAAATTGTATCTGTGTGCTAAAGTGGTATAGCAATTCGAACTGATGTACGTACGTATGAAGTTCTAGATTGTTGTTGACTAACTGACACCAATAATTCATAACCAAAATAGTTGAACTTCATGAATTTAGAAAGATCATTCAAATGATCATCAATTCAATCAGTGATATTTATTTCAATCCCTGTATGATTTAACCCTACTAATCACAGTAAAGTTAGTTATTTACAAAAACTAAATACAATTTAAACAATCTATAAAGATATAAATTCTAATAAACTAAGTAGTAGTTAATACGAATATTCGTCAAGATTAGAATGAATAGTTTTACAGAAATCGGGCGCCGAGTATAGAGAAGTCATTATATGTGAAAATTATATTTTGATTATTACCCTGAAGAAGTCCAGACAAATTAGCTGGACGAAACGTTGGAATTATTTAAATTTCAATCGCTGAGATTATTTCAAATATAATTAGTCACATATAAGTAGTAGTTACATAATAATAAAAATTTGAAGGATACCAATATTATGAAAGTCTTATGATAATCTACCATGACGTTTGTACTTATATGATGTCGTTCAGAAGAACGATGAAAGCTCCACGACCAAACCATTCAGCGTAGAGAATAAAACTTCATCAAAGAGTTAGATAAATTTGGTTAAAAAAAAAACACATTTTACTTCATTTAAACTAACCGGCTTTTAAAATCTCTTTTTTCTTTTCATATGCTTCAATATTTGTGATTGAAGTCATTTGTGATTCTTCAATCTATGAAAAGTTGTCAACAAGAAAGTGAAAGTGACTGATAGATAAGAAAAATTTATGAAGTCAATGTGTTCATCCTAGTTGGATCATGTAATTAACTTATTCAGAATGGATTAATGTAATTAATAATAAAATGCTTGTGCAAGATTATCAGTTAGTTAGCTGCAATATAGGACCAGGCACATATGTGCATCGGTCTAAGTTGCCATACCACATTAACACAACAAGATGAACACCGGATTCATAGAAGTGGCTAATTCAATCGTGGTAATATATATAAGAAAGATTCCATATAAGGGCATAGTACAGGAAGAAAGAATTAATTCGTAGAAAGAAAGATCTGAAGCGATTCTAATCCCTTAGTTTAAGGGAAGACAGAGAGTGTATACACCCACGCATTTGTGATCGATTTTCAGCCATGTCACCCACACTCTCCAACCATTAGTTACGATAGTCACGCGGACCCCAATCAAGTAGTCTGCATCTACCAACATGGCTCAGACTAGAAGTTAGTGACTTCAAGTACTGATGACAGGTTTCGGTTTGGCCGCTCCTAACTTTGTTCCAGCCGTCTCCCACACTAGTCAGTATTGCGCGTTGTGGTTGTCGGTGTTAAGGCATACGTAACACGTTGCTCAACCACCTCAGTTGATGAAGATTCACAACCTCATCAACTGATTTACCATTGTTTCCTAATACTCTGCGTCTAACTTCACTATTACTTACACGGTGATCACAGCAGATGCCAGCAATATTTCTAAGTCATCTGTGACCAAACACTGGTGGCTTACGAATATCTTCAACTCTTAATGGTCATCCCAAATATCCTGGGATTGTTGCTCAGTTCTACTAGAAGACTATATCATCTACATAATTTAAGTCGATAAGTGAACCTCCCGGAAAGAGATCAATGTCCAACAATTCAGTTGACGAGAACTTTATTTTCATCAGTAAATCTATAATGAAGTTGAACAAAAATGGAGTTAGTGGACAACCTTGACGGACGAACAATCTGTATGTTATTTATAAGTAACCACAATCAATCTATGCTTAAAAATGCTTGTGACTTAGTTACAATATTGAGGCAATCCACACAGGATGCACATACACCAAAAGATATTGATCAGTTCTAGTCGTTAACATTAATTGGAAGATTCAAACAACTAATACATGTAAATCTGTATGTTAGTTGGAAGCAATAACTAAGAAGCATTATTTCCTCTAATATCTAATTTATGTAACCATAACCCCTTACTTATGCCTGTTACTCCTCGTGAAGGAACATAGGCCGCTCACCAGCATTCTCCATCCAACCTTTTCCTGGGCAATCCTTTCCAGCTCCTTCCAGTTGTTATTCATCTTTTTCATATCCGCTTTTATTTCCCGACGTTTCAGCTCCATACAATAGAACTGCCTTGATATTCGTATTGAAGATTCGCACTTTGATATTGGTAACCCTAACCCCTGTGGCTTCATTCATGTACAATAAATCACTATCTATCTCTTATTTCTATTATTGTTCATATATAAACCATGGATTTGATTGTTTATTCTCACTAATACTACTCGATAATTTATTTTTTTTTATTTGAAATAAACCATACCTTTTCAACTATTTCATGAATACATAGTAGCTATCACAGATGTTAGCTTTGCCAAATGATACGATAGATGAAAAGAAGCATAAAATACTCTATTCAATTTGATTAAAAGCAGTCTGTGATAGAAAAGAAATCTCTCCTTCAATAGTTACTAAGTTGTATTGTAGTGAACACGAACACCAGTAGGGAACAATCGAATGTATTTAACACAAAATTACAGGACTTGTTAATAAAATCTAACAATCATAAAGTAAATACTGAATTTGCAAAATGACTCAGACTTCATTGTTCTTGCATTTTTATACAAATTGCATTCTGTTTTCATTCTTTACTGTTTAATCCTCTTGTCTCTCTGCTGCCAGACCTTCTGTTCACGACTAACATCCTATACTACTTATGTCAATATAAGTAGCACACACCACAGTATCTGTTGCTTCATGTTCAATGGTTAATTAATGATTTTCACCATTCAAAGATCAGTATATGGGATAACAGTTTCTATATCTAATATTTTAAATCATCTCATTGAATACGTTTTTAGTGACCTGGGATCTGACTCCAATGAATGATTGCTGTTGAAATATACATCCTAATTATTCTCGTATATTATTATCGACTTAGCCCGCTTTAGTGTATAACAGAATTAAATAAAACAAATACGTGAATGGATGTTTGAATATGCATATTTTGTACACTCGTTAGTCGGAACGTACAATCAGAGAATCGCAGCAAATGAAGTGAAGAAGAGAAACGAAAAGAAGCGCAGTAGAGAAGGCATGTGAGTTGACTTCCTTTAATCAAGCGTTAATCAATATTTATAGCCAGATAAAAATAGGTTACAGACATATGATGAATGAGATGTGGAGTGCCCACACATACTCTCATGTAAAAACAGTTAAATGTGATAAGCGAATCATTAACATGGTCAAAATGTAGCTTGGTAAGAATGGATAAACTGCCTTGCCTGGAAGCTAGAATAAACGATGTGGGTTAAACATAGGATCAGCCATTACATGTTCATCTTCATGCTAAATTAATAAACGCAAGTTTCCTAATGTATTTTTTGTGTAATTGCATGCTAGTTATGCACTCATGTACAAATGTTACATTTTTACTAAATTACGACACACCATATTTAGATATTGGTTCCATTACTATATTCGAAATGAAAAACAAAAGAATTCCTTTAACTACCTATTGTGAATCGCGAGGTGGCTACTCTAAATTCTACCGATTGACCAGCTTCAGTTATCCCAGTACGACCCCAATACTGTACTGAATCTCCAATATATCAGAACACGAAGCGTAGATGAGAAATTGTTTATGGGGTCAGGAGCACAATCATGATTTCCAAACAAATGCCTATTTATACAGTTAGGATTACTACAAATATTGACCAATCGAAAAATGACACGTGAAATAGTATTGACCAATGGGAAGATGACACGCGGAATTAATATTGATCAGTAGGGAAACGATCAATAGGAAAATGACACCATTTAACATTCAAGGGTAGCGTTAGACTTAACCGGGTAATTGTTTTTGGGATATTTTTCTGAATATCCCAACACTACCATAAGGTCAGAGCATGGAATAAATATCCATCCAACCAAGTTGTTACACCATTCCAACAGATCAAGATGAACAATGAAAGAGTCAATGTAGTGGGAATAACAATGATAATAAAAAAGACTAAACATAAAGAATATGATTTGTAAAGAAGGAACAAAATGAAGATATGCACGTACGTATATTTTGGTAGAGTTTTGTTCTCTGAGTTAGATGGTTTGGTCGTGGAGCTTTCATCGTCCTTCTGAAAGACATCATCAACACAAACTTCAGGTAGAAGTGAAATGTTCGAATTCCTCCACATGTGGCTCACAGTTTGCCCTATCTAATCAACATCGAGGTGTACAGGACAAGCTGTGAACCACATGTGGAGAAATTAGAACATTTCACTTCTACCTGAAGTTTGTGCTGATTATGTCATTCCGAAAACTAAACCATCCAGCTCAAAGAACAAAACTCCACCAAAATCATCCACTTGAGCTACAAATCTTCTCCATGTACGTATATTTAAACTTAAGATCTAAGATACGATAAATAATGAATATATCAACATCACTAAGACTATTTTTGAGTCATTCCCATACATACCTACTCAGTTAATAGAGTTGTAGTAGATAAGAATATCTTCGCTTCAAACCTGGTCTTACATCTTAAGATAAACATTGAAACCATTCAAAAATTTTCTTGGAAACTATGAAGAGCATTTCAGTTTTGAATCACTTGAAATACAACAAAATCAAATTTACTTTATAACAACTAAGTAAACAAAACACTTGGAACCAAATTCACAAAGTTTGGCTTTATTAAACCAATGAACATTGTTAGTTATATGTAAGGTTTGTAGAAGACTCCTACGATCATTCTTTGCTGACACGTAAGGCATCATTGATAAGTCTTTCTAATTGAACGCTAGATTTAGTTTCTAAACTCTTCTAGTAACCCTCAGGCATAGATCTGTAGTGGCATTGGACAATAGCCACACAATCCACAAAGCTGTGAACACGAGACTACTCAGAAAATAGATATTCAATATTTAACGCGGAGAAATACCTAAAAATGGAGAAGGCGCGAACAAGGAATTGAATGGACTGGAGTTGATCGAGTGGCATGGCTCGGCCATGCAGGCGTGGTCTCTATTCATATTAAATATATTGTTCTTTCTCCAGCCTAACCTTCTTACTCATCATGTATTGGTAATTGATACGATACAGTGAGTTGGTGTAGTCGATGGTGTGACTTCCACGTAAGATCTTATAGATTAGGCAGTTATATCATGACAAATCGACAAGTTTAGGATTAGGTCTATTATTAGAGCAGTACTAATATCGTAGTAGACCATAATTCTACAGATCTACACAACAATTTGAACACGAGAGAAAAGGTGGGAAATATGCAAGAAATACCTTACTCCAAAGAATCGTTTATGTGCAGAAAATCTAATGTTTTTTAAAGTATTTTAGATGTCCTTGGGTTTCTCGAGAATTCTGGAATGCCACTAAACATAGTAGCAGTATAGTAATCAGTCAATCAGAAACTCTACATGTGACGTTTCACTTTCTTGATGCTTCTGGTTAAATTTCCACTGAACGCTGATTAAATAAGATGCATCTTAATGTTTTCAAAGCCTTTCTTGTCTTATTACTAGGAGTTTTCGGGATCTCTCGAACAATCATGTAAGAGATGCCTCGACATTACCTATTTGTCATATTTGAATTGTGAATTATAAGATTCGAATAAATACAGCTGATAAGTCTTAAATAGGATGTAGTGGTCATTCACTACTGATCATAATCCAAATATTCTAAAATTATATGATCAAATGATTAGTGGAACCTTCAATGCCTTAAATACTCATTCATCATAAAATAATGGAAACTCAAAACAGAAAACCACCGAATCAGTAGGTGGCTTAATTAATGTTATTAGTGAATAATTCATGGAAGGTCACCATAAATTAATCAGTATCTGATCAGCTTTCAAACTGAGCAAACATATGTGTCAGAAGGGGTGTTTTATGGATATTATAGTAATATCAGTAGTTGAGATCATGAGTCAGTTGAAGCTACATTACAATGGAAAACCTTAAAGCATTGGATGGTCGTTTCATCCTAGTGCGAGACTTCTCAGCAGTGCGCATTCACGATCATATATGTATTCTGATTATTTTATTTTAAGAAAAATATATGTGGAAACTATTTTGGGATTAACTAGGCGGCCTGCTTGAATATCTGGATTACCTGCGCCTGTTATCCAGATATATCGACAGGTTATCTGTTTCCTAGTTTGTTTTAACACATCATTATGTCAATTAATTGCACAATCTATTCAGGTGCGTTTGTGAAAAGTTTACGACCTTTCTCGATACAACTTACAAAAAAGTACAGTCAGAGACATCGTGATGGCTGGCAATATGCATTGAATATAATGAACATTAGTCAGATGTCGATTCCTAAACTGCTAGAATCTAACTGGAGATCACTCAATACTTGTCTTCAGGATCGACTAAGAAGTAAGGAACGGAAACTTGTTGAAATTACTTTGTGCTGAGAATTCTGTATTTAAATAGTTGAGATCATGAGTCATTTGAAGCTAGAGCACTATGGAAAACCTTGGGACACTGTAGACCACTGATCCGGTATCTAACCATGTTGATGTATAACTTTAACCAATTCACAAAATTGAGCAACTGTCCATCATTGTCTTCAGTGAGTTACTAAAACGAAACAGCCGTCCAGTACTTCCAGGTTTTCCATGGTGGTCTAGCTTCAATTAACTCATGATCTCAGCTATTAAAAGTACTATAATACCCAAAAACCCCTTCCGATATTAATTGTATATTTTACCAAAAGTTATAATATTAAATAAGGCCAATAATAATAATAATAATAATAATAATAATAATAATGATAAGTAGTAGTAGTAGTAGTAGTAGTAGTAGTAGAAGAAGAAGAAGAAGAAGAAGGGGAAAAGGAGGAGGAGAAGAAGGAGGAGAAGGAGAAGAAGAAGAGGAAGAAGAAGAAGGGGAAAAGGAGGAGGAGGAGAAGAAGAGGAAGAAGAAGAAGAAGGGGAAAAGGAGGAGGAGAAGAAGAGGAAGAAGAAGGAGAAGAAGAAGAAGAAGAAGAAGAAGAAGAAAAAGAAGGGAAAGAGGAGGAGAAGAAGAAGAAGAAGAAAAAGAAAAAGAAAAGAAAGAAGAGGAAGAAGAAGAATGGAAAGAGGAGGAGGAGAAGGAGAAGAAGAAGAAGGGGAAAAGGAGGAGGAGGAGAAGCAGAATTTATTACGTACTTTTTTCAATTCTTTTCTTATATTTTCTAAACTTTCTTCATGTTCTTCTAACATTTTATTTAATGATTGTTGTATGAAATCACTGAAATCAATGAATAACTTAACAGTTATAGAAATAATATAGAAATTAAATGAAAGAAATAGAATAATTATTTACAATCAGATTGGGGTTCCGTAAAGATTATAGTAATTTAATAGTTGAATTCATGAAACAACTAACGACCATCATGGAGAATCTGAAAGCATTAGATGGTTGCTTCGTCCTAATATAGGACTCTTCAGAAGTGTGCATTCACGATCCCTGTTCATTCTGGTAAGAATCATGTGCTCACTAGTGACTAGCTTCAAGATAGATTTTCTATAGTTCTAGTGATAAGCAGTGACCAGTGGAATTAAACCGGGTCTGTTGTGAAACAGTATCTCACTGAAGACAATGGTGGACGGTGGCTCAATTTCGTGAATTAGTTAAAGTTAGACATTAACACCGTTACATGCCGGATAAATGGTCTACAGGTTAAACGTTCGCATGCGAGACCTATAGGTTCTGAATTTGAATCCCACGAGCAGGGTATTCGATGCGCACTTTTGAGGAGTCTCGTACTAGGACTAAACAGCCTTCCAGTGCTTCCAGATTTTTCATGATGGTCTAGTTTCAGTTGTTTCATGGATTCAACTACTAATTTACAATGAAATATTTTAGGGTAATTCAATCGTTCAAAGAAAATATCATTTTAAAACAAAAATCCAAGACTTCAATTGATATGCATATTTATATTTATACCCCACTTAGTAAATGAGTTAGTAATGATTAATAGTTATTCATGTAGTGAATAAAGTTAAAAGTAGGGTAATTACACAGTGATTACACTAAACGATTACAAGTAATTTGTTACAAATTTAAAGATGGTGGAAAGTGTGGACGATTGTATTTTACTACAGTAGCTGAATGTTATCGTAATTGTCACTACAACTTAAAATCTTTCAAAAGTACATCGAACATATTTTGTATTTATAATGAATGCCATTATTCTGATTATCCTCTTTTAAGTTTCTTGTAATCTTGTTGATTTGAAGAAAAACTTAAGATTTTGAAGATGCCACAGATATTCGGAGTTTGACAACGCTTTAACCAGTAACACCTTGTAATATGAATCATACCTAACAAGTGAACTCAAAAGACAGAAGCGAGGAGGTCCGAAGATATATTTGATAAGCTATCAATATATCGAGGATCGTCTGATCTAATCTGGCTAGCGATTGCAGGAGTTTTTGAGCATGGCATTCCCACTCGTGATCTGGTGCGGATGCATGACCGAGCTCCCTCAGCTAGGCGAGTTCATTAAAAATAATGTGGTCAGCATCCAATGTCGAAAACTTCCAGAGCTATTTATTTTGGGGATTTACTTACCGCTGCAGTGTAAATTTCGATAGTGTAAATCTTTAAATCTTATCTTAATAAGGTTACTTAATAGAAATTTCTATCTCTTTCAGCATTGTTTTAAGCACAGATTAGAAATGTTTGGATAACAGTCAAAAGATAGGAGTATTTGGATTTCTTTATTCAGTCCTATGTATAGTCAGGTATGTTCAATGTTGATAGGTATCAAAGTGAAATGAAATAACTGTGCATTAACTAGACAATGGAACTAAACATTCTATGAATGAAGTAAAATGAGTCAGCTATTACAGTTCAGTGAGTCAAACCCTAGACTAATTTTTTTGATTAAGATCATGTGATTGATGAACGGCAGATCACCGCATTGGATAACCGTTTCGTCCTAGTACGAGACTCCTCACTAGTGAGCAACCACGATCTCGCTCATGGGATTCGAACCCAGAACCTATCGGTCTTACGCACGAACGCTTCACCTGTAGATCACTGAGCCAGCATCCAACAATGTTAATGTCAAACTTCAACTAATCCACTAGTTATCCAGAGATTAATGGTTTCAGTATTTATCATCAGATATCTAACATCAGGAAAAAAGAACTAAATTGGTGGTGGTGGGGGGGGTAACTTCATCAGTTTATCACACAACTACATCTACACTTAACTGACTCAATATAAAACAATTCATCGTAAGAATGACCCCAACTTGTTTTGACACCATTTTAGAGTGAGCGACAAAACAATCAGCCGATTTTGACACACTCCATGTATTTATATCTATCCATCAACAAATTTTTGATCCAAGATTAAAACGTTAATCGGTTGATTACGATAGGGAGTTCATGTAGATCTTTGGATTTTTATAGTTAGCATTTCGGACTGATCTGTTTAAAATTAAGTGATACTAGAAAGTTGTTTCGTCGTAGTATGAGACTTCACAGAAGTATGAGTCTGTGATCCCACCACCAGTGGTTGATCCTAGGACTATTGGTCTCCCTCATAAATGCAAACAAAGATCAGGCCTAAGTTTTAACTGTAAAAAAATATAGAAATCTCTACAGATCCCCTATGGTAATTAATGATCATGTGCTCACTAGTGACTAATTTCGAGAGGTGATTCCGGAATCCTAGTGAGAAACCGTGATCAGTAGAGTTTATCCATGTCGAGTACGAGGCAGTTACCCATCAAGTAATATTGGGAGATGGTTGCTCGATATTGAAAATCCATCAAAGCTAAACATGTAAGCCACTGTATGCTGGCTCATTGATCTAAAGGTCAGACGTTTGCGCGTGGAACCGAAGGACCTAAGCCTTGATCTCCTGTAGAAAAGCTGTGGATGCGCGTTGGCGAGGAGTCCATGAACAAGAAGAAACTGTCGTCCACTGCTTCTTGATCATCAGAAGCTGTTTAACAAAGATCAATCCGGGTTGTTAACTATAAGAAAGATAAATGGGTAGTCAGGATGAAATAATGTACTACCAACTTTTGTTGCCCAATATCTGATTCCAGTTATATCCTATGATTTCTATCGAAACATACATACCACCAACCCTTGTATATAATTATCGACTTAAATCGCTTTAGTGTATAACGGAATTAGATAAGTCAAGTACGAGAATGGAGTTTGAATCGGTATATTACGTACACTTGTTGACCTAGACAGACAATCAGGGGAACGAAGCAAAGAAGTGAGTACGAAACGAAATCAGAGAAGGCATGTGAGCCAACTCGATTTAATCAAGTTTGAATCGATATTTATAGTCAAGTAAAAGTACATTAAAGACAAATGATGAATAAGATAAACAATGTACACACATAAACTCACAGAAAAACACTCAAAGTTGATAAGCAAATAATTAAGAAGGTTAACAGACGAGACTGTAATTTATGGACGAACAAATCAGGTATAAGATGACAAATCTCGAATTTTGGCGCGAAATTCACTCATCCATCTGGCTAAATAAAGTTTTGGTATTATAGCTGATGTCAGTTTGTGATGAAAACCGTAAATCTAATTTATAACCCTGATCATCAACTGTAAATCATAGTTCGAATTCGTCACACTGGTTTATAACCTTCATTTGATCCTAGTTATTAGGTGAACACTTTCGAGATCAATAAAAAGTCGTCCATAAATGATAGTCATACCGATCAACATGTGACTCAAGAAGTATGAATAATTTCAATGATTGAGATCATAAGTCAATTGAAACTAGACCACCATTGGAAATCTGAAAGCACTGGATGACCATTTCATCTTAAATTGGTCTGTTTTTGAAGCTAGAATAACCCATATGAGTTTGATATAGTATTAATCACTACACACAATTAACTAACCGTTTTTCTTCAGCTGCTTTAATTTCAATTTCTTTCTTTTGAATTGTATTTAATAAAGACGATTTTCGTATTTTACATTCATGAATATTATTGTATAATTCATCAACACTATTTGATAATGAGAATTCTTCAAATCTTTTACAACGTAATACTTCACTAACTTCTTTATGTGGTCTATTAAAATACAAAATTGTGAAGTGAACAACAGTGATTATGATGAAGATGATGATGGTGATGAAGAAAGCAACCATAATATTAATCAGTATTATACAAGATTTTTCAGTAAATGTCGTCATTTTCATTTGATTTGTGTGTGGGCTGCGATATTGTCCGGGTGCCCAGACCGAAGTAGGTGGTTTTCTTAGGGGGCCACACTCGGAGCCTTTGACATAAAGGTCTGATCTACAGGGCAATGAAGCATCGTCCGGTGATGCAGTCCCATGGTAGCCGGTGATCAACGATTGATTCATACACCATTTATTCCCTCAGAGTACTGGAGCCCATGTGCACCATTGGTTTGGGATCCGGTTAAAGCATCGGACATTCATTTTTCGTCCTCTCATTTTCGTAAACAACACCCCACCACGAGAAGGCAGTGAGTAGGACTTCCCTGGTAGAGGCTGTATACGCGTGGTAGTGTGAGAACATTTCGAGAGGAAGAGAGGGCCCTTCTCACTTTTGGCCATACCAGGGCATTTGAGAGCATTGTATATATATATATTTGGTGCCCTCTCGTACCCATAAATAAATAAATTATACAAAATTCATCAATCTACGCTTCCAAACATTTCATTGTTAAGTTAAATAACTTCTTTTCAGAGTATATTAAACAAGATACGCATAAATATCATCATGACAGTATTGATCAATGTAGCTACACAAATACTCAAAATATTTACAGATATAGAGAACCAAGAGAATAAGAGCTTGATTTTTATAAGGCTAATTATTTAAAGTGGAAGACGTTAAGTAGATTGTAATGGTTGATATTCAATAGAATCCTTAAGCTTCGTATAGAGTTCGTCCTAATAATCGTCACTAGATAATGCTCTAGTGGTGTATTAATCAGAAGGTGAATACGAAGTGTTGATTACGTTTATTATTGCATCATGCACAGATAAGCAAAATTACAGGTACGTTAAACAAGCATGAAAGAGTAGTGCCGAAAAGCAAGCTGGAAGGTGAATGAGCGTGCAAGTCGAATGAGTGAGTCCATGAACAGGATTAAAATGTACACTTCCCAAGTTTAAAAAAAAAATATTTTGATGGAGTTTTTGTTCTCTGAGCTGGATGGTTTGGTCGTGGAGCTTGCATCGTTCTTCCGAACGATCTCATCAGTTCACACTTCAGGTAGAATTGAAATGTTCGAACTTCTCCACATATGGCTCACAGCTTGTCCTGTAGACCTCGATGTCAATTTATTATTGTTGACATTTAATCTGTCATTGTTTACTTCTTTATCTTGGTTGTATGTTTCATTGATTTGATTCTTGGTCCTATAGTTTTTCCATAACTTTTCTGATTGGTTTAGAAATTGGATCGATTTAAATGTGTTTGTTGATTGCTGATTGATCTGAGTGCCAAACATTTAAAAATTATCTGGTGTTTTTAGAATTACCTTCATCGAAGATTTCTACATTTTTTCAGTCGTACAAAGCGGACGCATTATTTGTCTTCTCCTGCATGAACATCAGTTAGAGGTCAAACACCATGACATCTCACTCATATCAATGCACGTGAACAACTGCGGTCACACATTCGACTGGAAAAGTGTTGATATCTTGAATGAAGAACAATCTAAAATGTTTGAGACTCATCAATCAACAATCAACAAGCACATTGAAATCGATCCAATTTATTATCCAATCAGGGAAATTATGCACAAACATAGGAACAAAAATCAAACCAATCGGAGATACAACCAAAGCAAAGAAGTAAACAATGACAGGTCTAAAGTCGACGAGAACCAATCAACATCGAGGTCTACAGAACAAGCTGTAAGTCATTTGTGGAGAAATTCGAACACTTCAATTCTACTTAAATTTTGTACTGACGATGTTATTCGGAAGAACGATGAAAACTCCACGATCAAACCATCCAACTTAGAAAACAAAACTCCATCGAAATCATCCACCACAGTTACAAATCTTTACCATCATCTTTAACAAAATCTATTAGACGTTTACCTACATTTCTAATGTTCTGTTTTTTTCATGTTGAACACTGAGCGCTTTTTTCAGTTTTTTCTGTACATAAAAAAAACAAACAAAATTACACCTTAATAAAATGCAATCTTTAAAGATAATCCTGTTTTTGATGGAGTTTCGTTCTCTGAGCTGGATGGTGTTGATGTTTTCGTCCAGAAGAAAGATGAAAGCTTCATGACTAAACTATTCAGCTCAGAGAACAGGAACTCCATCAAAATCATCCACTTGAGCTACAAATCTTCTCCATCATCTTTAGAGTAGTCCATGAAAAATGGTAATTCTCAAATTAGTGAAATTATATAAAGGTTAAACTTTTGATTTAACTAAATGGAAACCAAAGAACATGTGGTCATCTTTTTAAAAATAAAAAAATATATCACAGAATATAATCTTGGTGACACTAATTTATGAACGACCTTTGAGCGACTCTAAAGAGAACTTGAGAATGTCCACCTACATACTAGGGCTAAATGAGGATTATAAATTAGCTTGAGGACCACAACACAGAGAACCAGATAGATCATATCCGCATCAATAAAAAATTCCGAAGGACAACGGAAGATATGGGAACCAGGAGAGGAGCTGACATAGCTTCAGATCACCACCTAGTTGTGGCCAATTTAAAACTGAAGCTAAAGAAGAACTGGACAACTGGACCAACAGCACTACAAAGATTCAATAAGGCCTTCCTTTGAGATACTAAAAAATTCAACGAATTCCAAGCCTTACAAGATATACTGAAGGAAGAAGAAACTACTATGGAGAAAACCTGGAAAGGTATCAAAGAAGCTTTAACTTCAACGTGTCAAGAGGTTGTCGGTCTAAAGAAATACCATCATAAGGAATGGATCTCTATAAAAACACTGGACAGGATCAAAGAAGGGAAAAACAACAGCCGATCACGTGCAGAGAAAGACCAAGAACAAGTTGAGTACACAGAAGCAAACAAGCAAGTGAAGAGGAGCATTAAAGCCGACAAGCAGAAATACGTGGAAGAACTAGCAACGACGGCGAAAAAAGCTGCGAGAGAAGGAAATATGAAACAACTTTACGATACAACGAAGAAACTAGCAGGGAAATATAGTAAACCAGAGAGACCGGTCAAGAACAAAGAAGGCAAGCCAACCACTAAAATTCAACAATAGCGGGACAGATGGGTTGAATACTTCGAGGAACTCTTGACTATGTCGGCTCCAATGAATCCACCGGACATCGAAGCAGCACACACAGATCTTCCTATAGATGTCAACCCACCAACGACGGAAGAAATCAGAATGGCCGTCAGACAAATCAGAAGCGGGAAAGCAGCAGGACCCGACAATATACCAGCTGAAGCACTGAAATCAGACATCGAAGTAACTACAAGCATGCTTTACCTTCTATTCAAAAAGATTTGGGAGGAGGAACAAGTGCCGATGGACTGGAAAGAAGGACACCTCGTCAAGATTCCAAAGAAGGGAGATCTGATCAAATGTGAAAACTACAGAGGCGTTACACTACTGTTATACCAGAGAAAGTCTTTAACAGAGTGTTGCTTAACCGGATGAAAGATGCAGTAGACCCCCAACTTTGAGATCAACAAGCTGGATTCCGTAAGGATCGGTCGTGCACTGACCAAATTGCAACACTACGGATCATCGTCGAACAATCAGTTGAATGGAACTTGTCACTGTATATCAACTTAATTGATTATGAGAAAGCGCTTGACAGTGTAGATAGGAGAACATGATGGAGACTTCTTCGACACTACGGAGTTCCTGAGAAGATTGTCAACATTATCCGGAACTCATACGACAGACTACAATGCAAAGTCGTGCATGGAGGACAGCTGACAGATGCATTCCAAGTAAGGACCGGAGTCAGACAAAGTTGTCTACTCTCTCCCTTCCTCTTTCTTCTGGTGGTCGACTGGATTATGAAGACCTCGACATCTGAGGGAAAACACGGAATACAATGGACAGCTCAGAATCAATTAGACGATTTGAACTTCGGAGTTGACTTAGCCCTCCTATCGCATGCACATGAACAAATGCAGATAGACAGCCAGTGTAGTAGCAGTCTCTGCATCAGTAGGCCTCAACAGCCTCCTGTAGGAGAGAACAAAGCAACTTCCAGCTGAAGAGGAAATTAGTAAAAGACGATGGAAATTGATAAAACATACATTACGCAAATCATCAAACTGCATCACGAGGCAAGCCCTAACATGGAATCCTGAAAGGAAACGGAAAAGTGGAAGGCTAAAGAACATATTACGTTGAGAAATGGAATCGGATATGCAAAAGGATGAATAACAACTGGAAAGAGCTGGAAAGGATTGCCCAGGAAAAGGTTGAATGGAGAAAGCTGGTGAGCGGCTTGTGTTCCTTCACGAGGAGTAACAGGCATAAGTAGGTAAGTAACAAACTAGAATAACTCTCGTCAATTTAGATCACACACGCTAAATACTGAACATTAGGAACAAATTCTTTTCTGTGAAATAGAAAGAAACCGAGAAATCACACAATTTGCTTAAGTGTACTTTGTTAATAGTGTAATGTTAATATTTCAGTAGGAATATTTAAAAGAATAAAGTATCATCAGTTTCATGGTAAAACAAACACTTTAGTTTCCAATATCACGTTCCTTGATTTTTTTAATTCCTTTATTATTGAGTTAAATAACCTACTTCAAAGTTTGAGTAAACTCGAAGTTCCTCCGTATGTATAGATTAACTGCTCGGTAAAAATTACTAGAAGTTATATCAGTATCAAACAGTCACTTCATTCTGACTTCAGGAATTTTAGGCTTACCTATAATGGTGACATTTCTTTTCTAATATAATCTGGTTACTTTAAAATTAGTAAGTAGTAAATATGGTCAAACAAAATGTTTACCGTTTCTTCTTCCAATTTGATAACTTTTCTTACTGCATTTCTACGTTCTTCTGTTATTTCTGCATTTAAATCGTCCAACATCTTTTGAGTTTCTTTCACCTGTCCAAAATTAATGTGTGTTTTTTTTAGATAACAGAACTATTTATAATTACTAATCATTGAAATGTAAATATTAACAAAAGAAGACTAAACAAAGATGGATAGTGGCTAGCAGTGCAATCCAGAACGCGCATTTTGTCCTATTTGAGACTCGTCAGCAGGATGTACCTGCATCCCAGAGTTTATTTGTACTCCGGGACTCGAATCCAGTACCGTTCGCTTCAAACGCTATCGCGTTCTCCATTGAGCTACTAAGTCCTATCAATTAAGGCTATATCGAGGCAATCCGCATAGGATGCACATATGCCAACATGAGACTGATCAATTGCAGTCCTAAACATCAATGGGAAGATTCAAACAAACAATACGAAGTAAATTTACACTTCACTCCATTGTACAAGCAAGTGGCTATCAGGAATCAGTAGCTAAGTGGATAACGCGATAGCGTTTGAGGCGAACAGTACTGAGTTCGAGTCGCAGAGTGAAAATCAACTCTGGGATGCAGGTATATCCAGCTGACAAGTCCCAAACAGGACGAAACATGCGTCAAACTGGATTCCACTACTAGCCATCATCCATCTTTGCTTAAAATGGTATCTGTTTACAAAAGTTGAATAATGGCGGCCTGCTGGAATATCTGGGCTACCTGTTCCTGTCATCTACATATTTCAACAAGTTATCTAATTTTTTTTGTTTTAATATATCATTATGCCTATTGGTCGCATAAACTATTCAGGTGCATTTGTACAATTTACAAAACAGCCTAATCAGAAACATGATGGTTGTTAGTAATATGTAGCGAAAAGAATATATATTATTCAGATGCTGATGATTCCTGAACTGTTAACATCTAACTGGCGATCAGTCAATATTAGTCTTCAAGATCGATCAAGAAATAGGGAATGGGAATTTGTTGAAATACTTTTTACTGAAAATTCTATATTATACCAACAATACAATATTGAATAAAGCCGCTAATAATAATAATAATAACATCGAATTACCTTCAATTCAGTCATTTCAATTTCTTCAATTTTTTGATTTAAAAATATTTGTTTATTTGCTTTATTATCTAAACAGTTATTTAAAGCTTCAAGTGTAACACTATTTTCTTCATTTGACTTTAATTCATGAAGTCTAAATAGAAAAGTTTGAAAATTAATGAATCGATTGAAGTTAAACATTAGCACTATTGGATGCCAGTTCAGAAGTCTTAAGGTTAAAGGTTCGTGTGTAAGACCGAAGGTTCTGGGTTCATATTCTGTGAGAGGGGTCGTGGATGCACATTACTGAGAAGTCTGATGATAGGATGAAAGAGTCGTCCAATGCTTCTAGGTTTTCAATGGTGGTCTGGTTTCAATCAACTCATGAATTCAATTATTAAATGAGTGAATGATATAAAAATCTGATAGATTATTATCATGACAGTTTAAATTAGAAAAGTAACGGAGATCAAATATGAAGCCAGTAGAAGTGAAATATAAAAATCGAGATAGCCAATGATAAATGAGCCTGAAAGATAGATATTAAGGTTAGTTAAACTTTAGTTTTTAGCCTGAAAACCCTTATCTTCAATCGAATTTTTGAAACTCATAGAAAACGTTCAATTGAATATACTTCGTGTAACTATGAAAAGTGTTACTAATAAGTTATGTATATTGAGAAAATGAATAGGTCCGACACTGAAGTGTTTGGAATTTAAGGCAAATTAGTATAACTCCACCATACATTTTAAGAAATACATTTTGTTGTTTCTAAGGCTCGAACCACTTTGACAACAACTCATCCACTTTGAGATACTATTTATTCATCAAATTATATCAACTTTGAACCTGTTTCAATACATACCACAAGCTGGAATGATTAAAAAAACTAGCTTAGTGCATGCTTCAGTATATAATTGCTAGCAAGAGTGGTAACTGGCACATTTCCCTTACAAAAAATAACTAATCTCCAAAAATATCTACAAAAAAGAAGTGCTTAAAGGTTATAGTTGAGTTTGGACACAATACCCTGCAACTGAAACATATGTGTCAAGATTAACGGACATCGGAATGCGAACAAACTTTGGATGTAACATGATAAAATATTCAAATCATCAAAACAAATGGAATAAAGGTGAAAATACGTCCTAACAAATCATTTTATAATTGAATTTAAATGATAGAGGATAGAAGATTCAAGTTAATATTCAGTTAGTCAGTCAGTCAATCAGCTATAAAGTAGTGCCAGGCACATATGTGCATCGGTCCAAGTTGTCATACTGCATTAGCACAGCAACATGAACACCGAGTTCATAAGAGCAATAAAGTCAATAGTGGTAATATATAAAAGAAAAATAGCATATAATGATATAGTACAGAAATGATACATTGTTTATCACTCACAAATACACTATTGAACACACATGCTTCTCGTTCCCATTTACCAGCTATCGCGATAATAGGACACTAGCATATTCATCGTCTGTGTTTACAAATCACATTGATATCCTCATTGCTTGATGAATCTAGATACATATCTAAAATTATATTGATCATACTTTGGAAGATTGACTACTTATAATTGTGGATCACGAGCTCAAAAGACGAACCCGAACACGCCTTCTGCTAAAATTTAAGTAACATCTCATATTTTTTTCTTGAGCATATTTTATATTTCGGCATATCGTCAGATGCCTCTGATCTTTTTCTTTAATAATCTTATACTCGGTACCATTTATCGCATCCGAATTTGCTTAGCTGATGACTTTATTTTGGAGCACTCCAGCTATAGAGTGCAAATAACAGATGCTTGATATCAGGAGACTTTAATACGCCTGATATTAGTTGGACTGTGATGACCACGGAGGAATATATAAACTCATTTGATAGTAGGTTCCTGATAACAATAATGAAGCATGCGTTAGTACAGCATCTATCCAAACCCACACGTTTTGGTGCAAACCAAGGTTCTTCTCTGTTAGACTTGGTAATCACTCATGAGATTGACAATACTGTCGACCTAAATATTCTTCCACCGTTAGCGAATAGCGATCACTCTGTTTTGTCATTCACGTTTAGAGCTAGGGCCATGATATACGATCAGGTTACACCCCGCCCAAATGTATGGAAAGCTAACATATCAGCCATCAAGAAGTGCGTTGCTAAGACTGATTGGTCTGTAGATACTAGCTTATCAGTTGAAGAAGCATGGTCTGTATTTAAAAGCAAGCTTAGTTTAGTTACATCCTCGCTCATACCATACCTGATACCGCGTAGACCAGATAAAGTCCACCATAGATAACTAAACCCGTCAGAAAATTTCTTAGAAAAAGGAAAAAGTACTGGAATATGTTTATCTACACTGGCTTAGAACAATACAGATCCAGTTATTGTAAGATTAGCAATGCTTGTAAAGCGTTAATAAGTAAGACCAGACGATCATATGAAAAACAATTGGTTAGGAATTCTAGATATAGTCTGAAACGGTTATTCCCGTATATAAAAAGGCAAACTCAGAGAAGCGATGGAATTCCACCACCTTTGATACAAGAATATCCTTTAATCTTGGCAAGAAATGATACCGAAAAACCTGAAGCTTTATCGGAATATTTCAGCAAAGTGTTTTCTGTCAGTAATGAAGAACGACCAACGATTCATTGTGATTGTGACGGCTCGCTGATGGACCCTGTCTTAAGGATAGTTCAACATCTCAAACCTGATAAGTCGAGTGGTCCTGATGATATTCATCCTAGGATTATGAAAGCCATATCAGATGTAATTGCTGAACCTTTAGCGATACTGTTTGACATGTCTCTGAGACAGTCCAGACTGCCCAGAGACTGGAAAGACGCTATAATAAGTTCGGTGTATAGGGCTGAGAGTAGGATTTAGTAAGTAACCATAGACCCGTTAGCTTAACTAGTGCAGTTGTAAAACTGATGGGGAAAATCATTCGGACATCCGTTCTAAACTATGTTGAAGGGCATAATCTTTTCTCCAGGGCGCAACATGGTTTTCGGAAAGGCCTATCTTGCCCGACAAATCTTTTCATTACAAGAGAAGATTGGACTGCTGCAAAAGATTGGAATGTTCCTGTGGATGTGATTTTCATAAATCTAAGGTTTCCCACTCTGGTCTTAAATTCAAAATGGAACGTTTTGGAATCAGTTTTACAGTCATAGGTAGATAAGTAACTTTCTTCATGACAAGAGACAAAGAGCAGAGTTTGACAGAGCTCTCTTCTCGTGGGTGCCTGTAAAAAGTGAAGTTCCCCAAGGTACATTCCTCGGTCTTCTTCTCTTTTTGCTTTATGTAAGTGAATTGCCAACTGTAACAAAATCATCCATTCTACTCTTCTCTGATGACATAAAGATTTGGAGACCCATACACAGTATGTCAGGTAGAATAGTATTACAGGATGATCTCAGCTGATTGGTGGCATGGTTGGACATGTGGTCACTAGAAGTAAATCCTAATAAGAGTGTAGTGATGCAGTTAAATAACTCTAATGAATCGTATCACTATACACTACGTGGATTCGTGCTACCCAAAGTAAGAAACTATAAAGATTTAGGAGTCATATTAAGCAATCATCTCAAAACCACTAGTCACTGTAAAGCTGCTACTGCGAAAGGCTATAGGGTATTATGGCCGATTCGTAGGTCTTTCCAGTATTTAGATGATGAAATGTTTGGATTACTATACCCGATTTATGTGCGACCACATTTAGAATACGGGATTCAAGCAGCGTGTCCCTGTTTCAAGTACGAAGCAGATATGCCGGAAAGAGTTCAAAGACGAGGTACTAAGATGGTACAAGGTCTATCTGACCTATCTTATGAAGACAGACTGAGACACCTTAACTTATTTCCGTTATCTTAACGTAGAATACGGGGTGATCTAATATTGGCTTATCGTATACTGAACGATAACCTTGATATTAACATGTATCACCTCTTGCTTCCGTCTAGGATCGATCATTTGAGAGGACATTCGAAGAAAGTTCAAAAACCGAGATCAAATCGTTTGCGTCTGGAGTTTCGTTTCTCGCACCAAGTAGTGAATTACTGGAACTCTCTACCGGAACAGGTAATATCAGCACCTTCTGCTGATATATTTAAAACGAGATTGGACCTCCATAGTGTGACAAACTGCAACAATTAACATAGATCGATAGACCTCCTATCTTTAACACTGAAGACTGATTATTTCTGAAGTCATATATCTTGTCCACCACAATCTTGAGAAGGGCAGAAGCTCGCTAAATGGGCTATAGTGGGGTACAAATTAGACGCCTAAAAAAACCTTTTGCTCGGACGTTTGTGTCAAAAGTACTTTGGAGTATGAACTGGATGGATATGAGCTGTAGGATTTCGTAGTTCTCCGGGCTTTATACTACTACAAGACAAACTAATACGTGAACCAATTAGAAATTCCAGGTCAGTGATTTTGACAAGTGATGAGCTAAGATTCAATCAATATCTGACCTTAATAAATTCAGTATGCGAGTAAGTTCCTCAAGTGCCTGTTCACTTTCCTCATAAGTACTTTTAATGGAGTTCAGAGAATCCTCTAGGTTCTTCAGTTCCTTTTCATTCAGCATTCTCACAAGATTTCTTTTGTCTTTAAGGCTTGAATAGTAGGATTAAAACTTTGTCTTACCGAAAATTTCTTCTACCTTTCGCTTTTTAAATTCCTGAAGCTTTACCCTCAAAGCGGATGTTTTGATGGACTCCGTTTCAAGAATCTGATGGGCGCAACATCTCATTTTATGCTACTAAAAGTCTAAGAAACCTAAATGAACCTACGAGTGATCTTAAATCATTTATTAAGGACTTGATATTATTAACTTCACTTTCTGTAATTGACTGAATGTTTCCACTGTCAACAGTCGCATCTATTTAAAAGGTCATTATGTTTTGATTTAGAAATACATATGTTTTTTAGTAAAGAAATGGCATTCTGATATATATTGGTGTGACTGGACCCAAGTGCTTCACATGTCTGCCCGTCCATTTTTGAAGAAATGCCAGAGTTTGTTACCAGGTGACGAAAACTTCAAACGTCCTGCGAAATACATTTTACTTTCAAATCGTCTATACCTCAGCTTAAAATCATCTGAGAAAAATTAAAAAACCCTTTGCGTCCTGAGATCTGCGTTTGGGCAATTGTAATGTGATCTTCGTTATGACGAAGACGAGAGCCGTGCGATTCGATAAAAGGAAGCGTTAAGACAATAGATTCTTCTTGTGTTTATCGTGTCAGGAACTACTTTTAAGCTCTTGTATGACGTCTTCGGAGTTGTTTGGGTTTCTGAAGTGTCTTTCCAAGTTTTTTACTTCACCTTTCACTATTTGAAGCATTTTGCTACCATGTATCCGTGATTTCCCATTTTTATCATGCTTTTATTCTGAGTCGGGTTTTGTAGTTGTTTGAACTTTTCTTGTTTCGTCCACATCGTACTGGTTATAATGGTGATTCAAAGTCATCGACACAGTCGACCATTATGCCACTTCCCCATTGAAGATCGTATGCAGTGTGACCAACGCATGAAATGACTTCACAACATGTGTACCAATTTATCGTCATCAGTGTACAAGCGTTGTTTTAAACCGGTCTCATCATGGTTATGTAGAGCACGTTATCTTACTAAAGTGATTCTCCTAGTTTGACCCTAGAGCTTCTCATTTTGATGAAGAAGTGACAGAGTGATGATACCCACTTATAGAGCCTGACAGCAGATGAAGAAGAAACAAGTTTAGTTGCCAGTGTCATTATTCCAGCTCTTGCATCTGACGGACAAGTCTAGACAAAAAATTTTAACACCCCAACAGGAGACAAAGCCTGTTCAGATCATTGTTGCGCGTAACAGTAATAAGTCTTTTACCGTCCGGACAAAGAAATTACCACCCACTGAAAGTGCATTTATTCCAAACACTGCAGATGAGACGAATACAACAATAGAATGTACAGAGAACAACAATCTTTCACAAGAAAATTCAACATTATCAGTGGGTGGATTCGTCTGAAAGCCAAAACCAGAAGGATGAATAAAGGAAAACTTACAGTGATTAACTGAAAAAAAATTATAACACAGTGGAAGGCTATAAACACGAGCTTCAGCAGTTGAATACATTCCTGCTTTTAGTATTTCGAACCTCGGAAAACCAGAAGAAAATGACCCTGCTAAAAGACATACATATAATTTGGAGTTAGTGGGTTCCGCTACCAGAAATGTACGTTGAGAAGAGTCTTCAGAATGTATATCATAAGCGTAGAAGGATAATATTATATATTATAGATCACCTTCGCGTGAAATCGTGTGCATCAGAAACGCACTATGGTACACATGTGGGATAGCTTGTTATGCAATTAAATCTAGACATGGGATAGTGGCTATGAGAGGAATATGCCATGGTTCACGTTGTCTTGCTAACAAATTTACTTTAAGTCATATCTTTTAGTGGCCCATTGTTTTTAAGCCAATTGGATCTGACGACGTCGACGGGCTCACCACTTTAGTGGCCTGATATCTGATCCCATTTGGATCGTTTCTGATTGTTTGTTATTGAAATACTCAGAACATCAATCCTCATATATAATTATCGACTTAGATCGCATTGATGAATGACGGGATTAAATAAGTCAAATACGCGAGCGTATTTCTGAATACATATATTTTGTACACTCACCGATCTAGACAGACAATCAGAGAGATGAAGCGAAACGAAAGCACTAGCAGTGGAGAAGGCATGTAAACCAACTCGATCTAATCAAGCGTTAATCAATATTTATAGACACACAACATTAAGCTACAGACATGCTATGAGTAGGATATAATGTACATACACATGCACTCATATAAAAACAAGCGAATAATTAGCGAGGTCAAAACCCGAATCAAGAAGAATGGGTACATTGGACTGTCCGAAAACTAGAATCTATTATACAGCCTTAACATAGTAGCTTGTCCTACAATTTGTTCTTGGAATACGGCCGGTCGTTCTCGCATCGTTGGTGCCGCACACCAACCGGATAGGCTTACAACCCCAAGTGGGTGTTTTGACAGTGGCCTACTGTCAGCCATTATTTGGTGTGCGGTCGTTCAATGTGTCGCCAAACCGACAAATACTAATTGTCAACACTTGACTTTTTCTTTACACCACTCTGATGATGTCATCGACATTCAGCACCTTCCCTCATTAGTAAGCAGTGATCACGTTTTGTACCTTACATCAGGTTTCGATCACATATGACGCAGTATGTATTTGTCCCACCCATCCCAATATCTGACGAGCTAACATTTCGGCAATCAGAGACTGTGTCATCTCAAAAGACTAGTTGATCTTTGTAGATGGGTCTGTCGAAAACAAATGTAATATGTTTAAGACCATATTCCAATCCGTAACACAACCGTTCATTCCATAGTCAACATATAGACTATCACATTGCCCTACATGGATCGATTAGGAAACTAGAATTCTGTTGAAGTGCAGATCGCACTTCTGGGACTTTTCCTTGCCAAAAAGCCACGAATAGTTTAAGTATAAATACCAAAAATCCAGTGTATATGTAAAAAGACGAAGGCCAGGTGTCGCACTACTTTCGAATGACAGTTGATATATGATGATCGTACATTAAAAACATCATCTAAAGCTCAAAGCTTAGTGGTAGTATTCCTTCATTATTGTTACACGAGAATTCAGACACATTGCCTGGATCATTTCTGGCCAAAGCTGAGACTGTACCAAACTATCTCAGCGAAATCTACTCAACGGGTGTTATTAACGAAACATGTTGTAACCTCATCATTGAGATATTAGCTATGCAACCTGTATATGTGACTGAGGAATCTGTTCTTCAATTGGTCCTCAACCTCAGATCTAGGGAGATACCGGATCCTGATGAGTTGCATCCACAATTGCTGAGATTTCTCGCAGACACTATTTCAGGACCACTCACGATGCTGTTCAGCATGTCCCTTTCCCACACTCAAGTTCTCAGGAATTGAAAAGATGCTATACATAGTCTTCCATTTGGATATGGAAATAGGTAGATCGTTTTTAACTACTGACCTGTCAGTCTAATCAGCATAATAGCTGGGTTACTTTAAAAAATATTTCAGGCTAAGCTTCTGAGTCATATACAATAATACAATCTGCTGACACATGAGCACCAGGAGTTTTGAAATAAGCACTCATAGCTAACTAACTTACTCGTTCCAAGAGAGGATTGGACAGAAGCCCAAGATAACTATTTGTTTGCCGAGGTTTTAGCAAAGCATTTGATAAAGTTTCTAATTTAGATCTTATCCAGAAGCTCTCGAGCTTCAGAATAATATGTCCCGTACAATAGTAGATAAGAAACTCCCTCTATGACCGGAGACAGCATGAGAGTAAATGGGATACTATCTGAATGTAAACCGACCAAAAATGGTGTATCACAAGGTATCATCTAATGTCCCCTACTTTTCCTTCTTTACATCAGTGAATTACCGAAACTGCCTAAGGCGTCGTCACTGCTGTTTGGAGATGATGTTGAAATCTGGGTGAAAATAAATAGGGTTGCTAATCATCCTGATCCCCAAGCCAAATTAGATGAATTTGTCAGGTGGTCTCAAATTTAGGGCTTACAAAGTGACTCTAGAAAGAGTGTGCCAATGTATGTCGGATACGGCAATAGTTACTAGTCTGCTGTTAACGGTACACCTCTTCCATGTGTGGAGGAACTCAAAGACTTATGGAGTAGAAGTAAGTCATGGCTTAAAAACAACTGCACATTGTAACGCATCAGCGGCCAAACGTTTTCTCGTGCTATGTTCACTTCGCTGAGCATTAAAAAACTGATGAGGTGTTTCGGACTTTATACCCTGCTTAAGTAGGAATGTACCGACAATACTGCACGAAAGTGGCAGTTTTATTTCTTAGCAAGGATGCTGACACACTCAGGCATGTTCAACGCTTAGGAAAAACGTTAATGAAGGGTCTCTACAAACTACCTTATGATGGATGCTTAAAACGTCTGACCATTTTCTTATCGTATCATGTTATCAGGCGGACTCATATTTCCATTCCGTATCTTTCATAACGACTTTGGTATTTATATGTCTCACCTTTTTGCTCCATCCGGAACTAGTAGTCTCCGAGGGCACAGCAAGGAGGTTCAAAAACAGCGATCAAATAAACTTAGACTGGTGTTCCATTTTTTTCGTTGAATGATTAATGACTTAAATGCCTTATCTGAACAAGTGACATTGTGGTGTATGCTACTTACGTCGATATATATAAGGAGTACGTAACACCATTCAGAAGTGGAATGAGTGGCAACAGAAGGTTGAGATCTGATTGAAGGGAATAGAAGTATAATCAGATAGTAATTGTAATAACAACAAAAATAAAGAAACGATGAATTTTGAAAGAGATGATTGATGGAAGATGTGGAAATGAAATATTCGATGTATTGTCTCTATACTTTGCGAAGACACTGTAATTTTGCATAAAACAATAAATTTGTCATCCCCACTTGACTTCTTTGCCCTATCAACGAACATTTTCAGAGAGAATCCCGGGTCCCATTGTAAAGCAAGCTTCAAGGATTATCACAGTTCCCCTGAACTACTGTCCTTAATGCCGAAGAATAAAGGTTAATTATTGTTATACTTATATACTTCAGTTCGAGAGACAGAATAACAACGTACATCAGTTGATTGTGTTCCAATGGGATGGTTCGGCTTTCATAGATAGCCTACAACTTCGTGTTATAGGGCACATCATATAGCACACCACGTTACAATTCATAGGTGAATATCCTGGGAAGGTAACTGGAGAGTTACTCACCAGTAACTCCTACGATGACCTTCGCCACTGCAGAGCAAAAAAACTGACCGGAAACTAAAAGTTTCAAAATTGCCATCCCTTTGAGGTACAGGTGTAACTTCTTTCCTTTTTTATTCAGAGGGTAGTCCACTCTTAACTAAAAGGACTTCGAAAAGCGTTGCTGAAGAGAAGCCAATAAGGTCATAGAATTCCATCAGGATTCTGTGTCGTGTGCCATCTCAGTCATTATATTTA